TACAATAAAATAATATAAAATAAATAACAAATATAATATCAACAATAAAATCAATTCCTCGATGATGGATTGGGAATGGTGGAGCAGCATAATGGCCAGCGAGGTTCCTGAACCTGTCGCCAAGGGGCCCGGGCGGGGACATTACTTGACGTCATTTGTAAAAGTGAATTCAATATACTTCAACATTTACAACAAATAGTACAAAATGCATTCGGAAGTATAAGAAGATCTGTTGAAAGGGCTATACATAAAACTGAACGAAAAATAAATGTGTGCAATAGGGAGTGTGGTATTAAATAAACCCTATCGAACATGTCTAGCATTAGAAATTTGTTTGTAGAAGTTGATATATTTATAATAACTAGGATTAATATCATGGATATTATTAGATCACACACAGAGATTTCAAATTCGCAAAAAAAGTTAAAAATAATATATTTTAAATTGCTGACATGGATACCTATTATTTATTTAAATCTTTCAATTGGCTCGATTTTCCTGAATTTCCTCCTCGATTTCGATGAATATAATTAGGTTAAATAAATTAAAAATCCAGAGTCGGGCTTGAAATTATTTTAAATAATAATTAATAAACAGTTTTGTTGTTAAAATAACTAAAACAAAAAAAATATAACCTGTGGCATATGGCGTTATACTCAGGAGACTGAATTCTTTCAAAACCTCAAATAAAAAATGCAGGCCCGTATTTAAAAAAATTAAATTGGCCTATGTATCTCACAAATTACCAGATAATTTGAAAATCTAAAAATACTCTCAGATAGCCCTGATAAAGTGGCTATGAGAATGTTTAATTAGTTTTTTGATTTTCTAAAAAGTAACAACCGGAAAAAATAAAACTGATTTTCAAAAAAATCCGTTTTTTTCCAAAAAACTCAGCAATCCTTGAAATTTTTAAAACTTTTTTGATGGCATCTTGGTGAACATCACAAGACGGCAACTTTGCCCCAATTTAACCATCTTCGTATCTACACTGATAGAAAAAAGTACTTTATTATTATTCCGTCATGGATTCCAATAGTATTTATTTATCATGAATAAAATTAATTTTATATTAATATTTTAGGCTTCTAAATAGTAAATTGTTAAAAGATATGCATGCATATGCATATATTTGTACTATTTAATAATCGGGGGGCATTGGACCACCTCCTCCAGTCTGGGTTAATCCTCTATTTAATTCAGCTGCTTTTGCCTTCACTTTAGACTTCCAGTCAGTAATTGCCTACGAACCAATAATACGCTTTGTAATTTTAGTATCTGTTACTGTATATCTATGTATTATTTTTAATTTTAAGTTTGCTTTGTCAACAAAATCTAGTACTTATCTAGTAATCTAGTATTTTAGACAATAAAGTATTTTTGACTTTACTTTGAAGCTCTAATTCTATAATTGCAATGATTCAATGACAAATTAAAACCTAGGTATCGAGTAAGTGTCAACTTACAAATTTAAAAATATTAAATTTGTAAGTTTCTTTTAAGAGTCTATTTTTTAATTATTACAATTGTTTGATTATTAGGTAGGTACCGAATCCATACTCTGTCAATAATTCATAAAAAAATTGTATGATCATTGGTACCTTTCTATTGTATTCACACTTGAATCATAATAATGTAGGTATGAGTAATAAGTTACCTTTTGTCATTTTTCCACGGATTTCTGTTGAAATCCCATACTGTTAAGGTGAGATGACACTTCTTTCCACAAATCATTATATTTCTGCTTGCTTCCCATGAAGCTGAATTTTTTAGTTAATATCTCTGGGTGTTTCTCGGCAAAATTGAGAAACATGGACCATTGAAGAGGATTTGTTTTTACTCTTTTCTCCATTTTTTATTGTATATATTTTGTATTATAAGCAGTTTCTCCTAAATAAAATAGAACCAAAAACAAACTTATTACTTATCACCGGCAAACAAATTTCTTAACCTCAAATAACAACGAAATTCTCAAAGCGTCAAGCAGTTGGCCCGCGTTATCGCTATCGTTAACCGAATGGTCAATCGACTAACGAAATTTGCGGTTATAGAATAGGAATCTGCCGGGCGCTGTCGATAGCAACAACGCATTTCTTACTTTGTTGTTATAGAATCGCACCACTGGTCTAGTTTTTATTAGTAAATCGGTGCCATTCATGACATTTGCTGGAAGGTGCAACAAACTCTAGATTATATTATCTCTAAAATTTAGAAATGTTACCTTAGGATGAATGTTTTTGTAGATATAATAGGAATTCTAAACAGAAACATCCACCAGATGGAAAATTACTTTTTTGTACCATCGTATTGTTTTACGTGGCGAAGAATAATACTGAACCATTTGATCACAAAGGTCTACTCCCGACATATTTGCGTTGTAGTCAGCAATTGCTTTGAGCTTTACTTTCAGATCGCCAAATTTGTTAGGTATTATCGTCAGAAATCTTTGTATAGTCGAAACTCTATTATTCTGTTTTTAGGCTTTTAGAAGTGGATGACAGTTACAAAGGGTAGCCACTAAATTACTGTCTAGCCAGCTACTGAATAATGAACAACCCTAACGTAATTTAATTTAACCTTACTGTAGAGCAAGTGAGTCAAACACAGAATAGACACATTTTTCAGTAATAATATTCTCTAACTAATACATAAATCTGAAAAATACATAAAAAATATATTTTTTTGTTCCCAAAAGTATAAGAGAAAATTACTTAATTATTATAAAAAAAATATTAAAATAATCTCTGATAGGTTGTTATCAGCTGATTAAAAGAATACGAACTTAGCTATAGCCTTTATAGACTTTGAGATGACTTTCGACTGGATATATCCCTAAAGCAATAAAATAGAAGCCCTAGCAAAACAAGGTATTGACAGGTCTTATATAGAAACTCTCGCCAATATATACCAAGAAGGCAAAACAAGAGTAATGATATATAAAACAACCCCAGAGTTCCCAATTGGTAAAGGAATTCAAGAGGGAGACGCGATATCCCCAAAGCTTTTTAGAGCAACTTCTTCTTTTTTCTTCTATACGTGCCGTCTCTTTCGTGGAGTTGGCGATCACATTGGCAAAATCTTCACGATTCTCGGCTTTCCTTATGAGTTCTTCAAAAGTTAGGTGAGTCCAATTTCTGATGCTTCTCAATCAAGATAGTTTCTTCCTGCCGAGACCTCTTTTTCCTTCAATTTCACCCTTAACTATTAATTGTAAGACGTGGTATTTTTCATTTCTTATTTCTTATCTTAGTATATTAGATAGTTACCTCTATTAGTTCAGGGTTGTTGGCAGTGGATATAAAAAGAACATCTCTTTTGTCTTTCCACTTTGATACATATACATCTCCAGACCTTCTCCAGATTTGCTCTACTTTTTTAAGTTTAGAATCAACTACGGCCTTTGGATTGCCTCTTCTGTTTTACGAAGCGTCCCGGTTGTGTGCGTCTTGAATTTCAACATTTCTTGAGATAACTCAACTGAATTATAAAAGTTATCCATGTAAATATGATGCCCCAGGTACAAATAAGGTGCCAATAGTCTTTTCACAATGAGATTCGTTTTTTCCCCTACTTCATTTGAGACGCTCTTGCCCTGATAAATTTCAAGATTCAATACATAACCGTCCGGAGTCGTCAATTCAAAAAACTTGATTCCGTAGCGTGCTTTTTTGTTCGGTATATACTGACAAAAGCTTAGTCTACCACGAAATAATAAAAGTGATCAATGAAAGTTTTTCATTAGGTTTAGGTATAGGATTCCTGGAAGGGAATTGGTGTTATTGCCGATCTTGACAAAATCAGAAATGTTTCCCAATTTTGTTTGTCTTTCTTGCTTATCTGTTTCCTGGTTCATATAACAACTAAGGCATCTTAGTAATTGTTCAAAGCGGCGCCCAGGCAAAGTATAGGAAATATGGGATGGTAGTACAAACAATGGTTGCCGAAACTATGTCTAATACTGGGTGATCTAATTTGCGCTTTTAATAAACACATTCCCAAAAACTTAGAAAATTCTGTTTTATACGTTTTTCTAAACTGTAGCATACGCCTGTGCATAGTAGAAGGTCTATTGGATTCGCATAATTTTTTTCCATAGTTATTAAGCTATTAGTAGTTCATCAGAGAAAATTCGTTTGAATACTCCCAACCGAGAACAATTAGCGTCGACATTCACCGGACCTGAATCTGTAATATCGAAGCTAAACTGAGGGAGGGGTTTTATATCTTCGTACCACGCTGGTAGAATTTTCGTCTTCCACATTCATATTTTCTTCATCTTCTCTGTTCTCAACCTCTTCCACTTCATTTTCGCTGGCTACATCTTCATTTTCCTCTTCATCAGAATCATCCGGAACGTAATATGGATCGCTACTGAAAAGCCCATCATCGCGGAATTCTTCCGGTTCTGAATCCGAGCACTCAAATAATTGCTCATTTTCATTACCGCTATCGCTTTCTTCAGATACATTTTCATCAAGTAAGTCAAGTAACTGTTGTAAATGTTTTTGTTCCTTTCCATACGAAGACATAATCTAAAATCAAAACATAATAAGTATCACGAAAGATAAACCACATAATCTGCTGTCAAATTGTCTTTTAAGGGTGCCAATCTACCCACAAACACAAACCACAAACACAATTTAGACACCAGCCCATGGACTAACAGTAAAAACAAAAAAATACTTACCAGGTTATATTTTTTTAACACATATGACAGAAAATAATGTTAACGTGTCCTCTCCGAACGACAGTTATTTGACAACTAATGGAAGACAAATGCTATTCTGAACAGTTATAGCCGTCAAAACAATGCAGGAACCAACGTGCAGAAAACTGCACACGTGTTTCGAAATTCCCCGTAAACTGGACAAATTTAAACAAAATAAACACTCTGTCAGGACAATTAAATTGAAAATACATGCAGCTATATGGAATTAATGACGGCTAGAGCTGTTATTTGCTTATAGAAGAAAATTGGAGTGACTGTTATAGATTGCGTCATGTCCTGTGCTAGGGATAAAAATGTGACGGCTCTAACTGTACTGTCCGTCAACGTGTTAAATAAGATGTTCGAAGATAAGAATTCAGGGTAGTGGTGAGCCAAACCGTGATTTTCTGTTCACAGGCTTACCTGTGACCGCGACTTTGTATTACCTGTGACTCTTAACTGTGACTGCGACTTTATGATTATGAATCCGAAAGCACAATCACGGCTAAAAATATAAGATACGATTCGAATGATACGATTCTATTGTTATTGTTATACTAATTTTTATTTGTCCTTTATCCAAGGCCGCTGAAATAGAAAACACTAAACAGTGGGTAAAAGGTATATTAAAAAATAAAAATAAAACATTTTTTTTATTAAAAGAACCCAACGGGGAAATAATAAAATATGCTCATAACCATAACGAACGAAACTTAACAACACAAGATAAGTAATACTTTAAACAACAAATATTTTCCTTTGTATTAAAATAAACGAAATATATTAAAAAAATTAAGTTTCTAAAAAAACTAAACAGCATAAAGGTAAAACTTTATCTGTGGCTTTAAAAAAACCTGCTAAACTAAAAAGGAACATAACCGATTCGTAGTGATAAAAAATAGTAATAAAATATAAAATACATAAAAAATTAAATCACTTCTAACAGTCACTGTCTTTAGATCACTTTGTCAGATATCTATCCTATGAAACGTACGTCGTGACTGTGAACCAGTGTTGCCAGCCTACCAGAAATTTATGTACTGATCTGAAGGAAAAAAAAAGTACTGATATTAGTAAAAAAGTATTGATTGCACCTAATTACATTCACACCAAGGTAATTCACACTAACCTAATTTCATTCACACCAAACCTACATTTATGTAAATTAAATCGAACGTTAGCTTCTTTAGCAATTTGTAGTACCTTTTTCAAGCGTTCAACATGTTCCGATTTAGTTTGAATTTTTGTTGACCGAATCTATTCTTTTAATTAAATTTAGCTTCGATCATCAACCCAATTGGGTGGTGATCGAAGCCGCTGGAGGATTCAAAAGAATGGCTTACCACAGGGGAGTGTTTTGGCCCCAATTCCTTTGAATATCCAGCCGTTAAGTCAACACATCAGAAGCTTCATTTACGCAGATGATTTAGTAATAGTTAGCCAAGATAAGGATTTCTGTAAAATTGAAGATAATTTAACAGTACACCTGACCGCGCTAACCCAATATTACAGAGATAATAGCCTTAAACCAAACGCCTCGAAGACTGTCACTAGCTTGTTCCATCTAAATAACACGGAAGCTAATAGAGCAATAAATATCAATTGTCATTTAAACATCATGTCGAGAAGACTAGGGCCAACATTTCTACAAGGAACAACCTGTTGGCAAAGCTGGCAAGCTCCACCTGGGAGGCTAATCCGCACACACTAAGAACTACTGCTCTTGCACTCTCCTATTCTGTTGCTGAATATGCCGCACCAGTTTGGGAACGCTCCTGCCATGCCAAAAAGATAGACCCGATTCTGAACCAATCGTGCCGTCTAATCACCGGATGCCTAAAACCCACATCGGTCCAACAGCTACACCTCCTCAGCGGGATAGCTCCACCCCACATAAGGAGACAAGTTTCCAGCATGAAAGAGAAACAGCAAGCTCTTTTCGATACCCGGCACCCGCTCTTCGAACAATACGCCGCTGGACCCAGGTTGAAATCTCGAAAAAGTTTTCTTTCTGCCGTCCAGCCACTTGATAGCAGTACGGCATCCGCAAAGAGACTAGAGTTGTGGTCAGCAACTTCACCAACTCCAAACGATTTTGCTCTAACGCCAAAAGAGAGCCTAACACCTGGTGCGGAACAGGCATGGCCAGTGTGGAGGAGTTTGAACCGTTTGCGTACTCAGGTTGGCAGATGCAAGGCAAACATGAACCAATGGGGCTACCTTGATGGACCTGTATCCTGTGAATGCGGAGAGGAACAAAATTTGAGGCATCTTTTCGTATGCCCAAATCTCCCAAACATATGCAATCAGAGTGATTTGGCGGAGGGAAATACCAACGCTCTGGAGTGTACCAAGAGATATCCTGTATATAACCGCTGTGTGCATATATATTTTTTGTAGTTTGTCTAATTCTGTACAAGTTTTGTTCCTATTTGTGTTGATTGTTTGACTATGTTTTTTTTAAATGTATGATGTACCTTTTTTATTAATTTGGCCGTTTTGTATATTTTATATATGTGTTTTTGTATTTCTTGATTTTTTTTTTTCATATACTGAGTTGGACACGAATAAATAAAATAAAATTTAGTTCCAGACTAGAATCTTACCCTAAAATAGCCTGAGTATTTGAATCAACTATATAAAATTCTAAATTAAAGTTTTATCATCCTTTTTACAAGGAATGTAGCATTTACCAACAATTTTCAAATTATTACCTGTATATGAAGTTAATGTTCCCTGTGCTCGTCTTAAATTACTTTTTATACCCAAACTGTTACATAGTTTTAACGGTAATATGTTTGCCTGTGCTCGTGTGTCAATCTTTAATTTATTTTCTTTTTTGTTTATTTCCAGTACAGAGAACCATCTATTATTATTAATTTCATTTACTTCTACAGATCCTATAAAAAGAAAATCATCATTAATTTTATTTACAACATTAATTTGTTCTGTGTTTTGAATTTCATTCACTTTATTGTTTTTGTTACTTTGCTTCTTTTTCCTGCACATATTAGAAAAATGGTTCTTAATTTTACAGAAATTGCACTCTCTTCCAAATGCCGGACACTTGTTGATTTCGTGGGATCGTCCACACTTTGTACACGAATTTATTGTCTTCTTTGTTTATTGTCTATTCTTTCTATATTGTCTATTTGTCCCATTTGGTTATTTTTCTTATGTATTGTTCCTGTTCTGCCCCTCTGTAATGCACCAATTTTTTACTTCACTCATGTTTTCGCTTCTTTCTTTCGACACTAATAGGATATTACACTTTTCAATTGCTTTATCGAGGCTCAAACTGTCTTTCTCCCTGATCGACGTATTATTTATGCCAGTAATCAGCACTGTTTTTGTCAGCTCCTCCTGAAGGCTTCCCAACTTGCATCTGATGACCATTTTCTTTATTTCAGTTACAAACTGATCCAAGGTTTCGTCTTTCTGTTTGTATGAAAACAGTTTAAATCGTTCATATATTAAATTTTCCTTTGGCAGAAAATGTGATTCAAATTTGTCTAGCAGAATTTTTAATTTATTTTTCTGGTTTTTTTCAAAGGTAAAAGTTGTAAAGACTTTGAACCCACCTTCGCCTATATAATATAAAACCTGGGCACACTGTATAGATTCATCTTTTTTATTAATTTCGCTGGCTACCAGATAGTTTTCGAATCTAGACCTCCATATTTTCCAGTTGTCGGCCACATTTCCCTCCAACTGCATAGGAGCCACACCTCGGCTATCACCCATTTTAATTTAATTTGTGAATTTCGCAGGTTAATTTGAAGTTACCACAACTGCGCCATGTAACGTTATGTTTTCTTTAGTATTTAGTAAAACACAATATTATTCCAGAAGTTATAAACTTCTTATTTATTTAACATGCAGCTCTGTAAGCCCGCCATGTTCATTACTTTACAACAACTAACTCCATAGATACCGTAAAGTCCCATAACATTGACCGCTTTTGAACTTTATTTTGCAAAATCTTATTAACCTTAAGCGATAAAAATTAAACAAAATTGCCAATATTAGGGCTATACTTAAGCTAATAGACATATGTAGTCATTATTTCGATATCGTGAACATAGTCCCATTTTTTTAAAAAAATGCTTGGTGGTCAAAGTTACGACGTTAGAAGGTAACTTTGACCACCCACCTAAAATCTATGACAAGCCAATTTTGCCGTCGCGCAGAGTAACATTGACCGCTAAAAATGTTTTTAAAAAAATGCGTTAGCTATAAAAAATACAAAAATCTGATTTAAAGTGAAAAAAATACAAAATATTTTTATTCATAAAATATCGCTTACAAACAAAACAAATTTCCCTCTTTATTAAATAAAAAGGCACTTAAACTTAACAAATAAAAAACCCTGCCTAGCCTTACGTCTTAAATAAACTAACTAAAAGGGAATTCTTTGGTTTAAACCGTAACACAATCAATGAGGAAAAGAAAGTTAAAAAAATTAACCTAAAAGATTATTTTTTTAAAATACCTATCACTCTATCTTTTGAGTCTTGTTGTGAAGTTCTTCAAAAACTAAATATCGTTTTCTCTCAAGAGGTTTTTTTAATTTTAAGACGATCTGTTTTTTTTCTATGATTGAGTGATCCACAACGTTGGGCCAGAAAAATTTTAAATTTTTGTTTCGCAAAAATGATAATTCTAAAATCGGATCATTCGCAACTACCTTCCCAACATAGTATTTGTTGCTGTTACACTTTGAGGAAGTCTTAAAACTGACAAGTAAGTAATCATCAACCTCTATACACTCATTAATATCTCTATGGTATTCCTCAACGTCAATTTGCATTTCATTTTCTTTACTTAATGCCTTGAATTCACTTGTTTGTTTTAACTGGGTTTCATTTTTTTCGATTGCGTTAGATAATTCTGCCAAGGCTGCTCATCATCAGACGACCATTCTCTTTCTTGTTCCTTTAACTGTTTTTCACAATAAGTCTCCCAATTTTCATCTTCTGAAGAATCCATATAATGTATGTCTTCTTCAGAAACCGAAGATTGGTCGTCACTCTCATTTTTCTTTGATGACTTTTTAGGTCTTTTCTTCGTAGAGACAGTGGAACAAGAAGGCAGTGAAACCTGAGGCGGCTTGTTCAGCAATAAATCCTCTACAGAAATGCTGGCTCCAGCCTGAACATTAACTTTAGATCTGCGTTTTTTTGGGGCGTCACTATTATCGCCGTATCTCATGTTTTTTAACATATCTACTACTATTGAGGAAACCATAGTCGATGCGGGAGTAGAATTCTGGTCGTGATTGTTTTCTTGGGGTAGGCGGTTTAAAACTTCTTTAGAATTAAAAGGACTAATTCCGCATTTTTTAAATCCTGAAATTAGGTTTTGTGAATAATTGTTAGGCGCAACGACCTCTGTTAATTTTTTTAACAAACGTGGAAAGTGATCTTTTTGAATCGTTTGAGAATTTTTCTTTTGCGATTGCTTCCAATTGTCTAAAATCTCTCTCCATCTTCTTTTTAACGGACCATAGAAACCTACATCTAGAGGCTGGGTGAGATGTGTTGCGTTTTTCGGCAAACAAGCAAACGTTATATTGTTCCTCTCAGCTGAACTAAGAACCTCCTGAGTAAAATGACTTGAAAGATTATCTCCCAATAATACTACTCTTCCGTTTATATATTTTTTTACATATGGCACAAAGAGATTTAAAAACCAGTCAGTAAAAATGGTGGCATCGAACCATCCACTTTTACTTCGATTGTAACGAGTGTTCGGCGGCCCTCCTTCCATCCAAGTTAACCATATTTTTTCAGCTTTGTATACAACGTATGGTGGTATTATTTTACCGGCCGCCGATCCACAAAACATGATGGAGACACTAGATTTGGTAGAGTCTCGAATCCTCTCTGGGTACTTAACGCCTTTTTTAAAAATATATTTCTTTGTACCAGGATCGTCAGAGAGGTTCGTTTCATCGTAGTTAAAGATACGATCAGGGCTAATAAAGTCATTATTCTCCGTTAAAGTTATTTGTAAAGCGTCAAAATATGCCTTTATGGTATCTGGTGAAACCTGTGCTTTGGATGTTTTCAGGTTTTGACACATTCTAGATGACAACATATTTTCATGGCGTCTTATGAATTTGGTGCACCATTTTAACGTTGGCAAATTACCCTCTTGGAATTGAGGAACCTTCACACCTTTTCTATTAAGAAACTCGCTGGCTAAATGTTGCAAATCAACTCGGGAAAAAGGATATCCCCATTCACTAACTTTTAAAATGTGTGCTACCATGGCATTTTCTTCTTCCTTTGAAAAAACAAACGGGCGCCCAATTTTACCACAGTGCTGACTTTTTAACCTATTTATTATTGTTCCTTTTGAAATATGAAACTCATTGGCGGCTCTTGTTCTTGAGATTCGTCCTGATTTTATCATGCTCAAAACTTTGTCCAGCAATACTTTATCTTCCCTGTCCTCATAACGCCGATATTTTCTTTTAGGCATGTCTATAAAACCAAAAATAAAACAAAAATCAGAGTGGGAACCAGATTTTCGATTGACGTTATCATAACTTTGACCGTGGAAGTAACTTTGACCGCTGGTCAAAGTTGAGAACAGAAAAAAAAAGGTTATGTTTAAGAAATAAAAATCACCATTATCATAAACAAAAGAATAACAAAATAAAAAAAAGGTGGATTAGACTACTAACATACTAGACTACTTACCGCAAGGAAAGATTTGACTTATGTCTTTTTAGTTTCTCACCCACAATGGAAAGTTTTCGGACTCAAAATTTTCACGTGTTTCTCGTCCAAATATTTAACGGTAACTACGCTTATAATTTCAAGCCGATTTGTGTTGACGGGGCATAACGACATCTATGGGTCATTAAAATAACTATTTGTATACAGAAATGACCAACATTATAGAAGTATGTGATGCTGTGGTGCATTATACCGGTCAGTGATCTTTTGGTCAATGTTAGGTGTCCGGACAAAATTAGGGGAGTTTACGGTAATATAAAAGCTATTTCGAAATTACATAAAGTATCTGTGGTTGCCTACCCCACAGCACCAATATTTCCAAAAATCGTCTTGGTGTATGTAAAACGATTTGATGATTAATAATACCATAATTTGTTAAATATTAGAGATAATAAAAGGTACAACTTGGAACAATGTGATTTTTATTTAACCGAAATAATTAATTAATACATGAGAAAATAAAATCGTGTACGTTTTGTACGTGATACTCTTTCAGACTAACACAAAAATTCCACTACAATAATATAATATTAAAAGCAACTGCTAGGTATGCATTCTTGTAGTAATTCCCCAAACCGAGAGCTTATGAAATATAAATCAAATAAACGTGTATTTTAGACGCCGCACAAAAACTGTTTATTATTAA